GTGTTTATTGTATATATGTGTGCACGTATATATATACAAATAATATATATATATATATATATATGTGTGTGTATGTGTGTGTGTGTGAGTGTGTGAGTATGTGTTTATTCATCAATCTATAATATATATATATATATATATATATATATCAGAAGCCATATAACCATACATACCATTGACCTTAAAATTCTGCCTAGCCAATCCGATCGGCACACCGAACACTTCTGATACCTATACGAGACCATCACTTACTATCAATACACCTCAGTTCATACTGCCCCCCGTTCCATCTCATCCAACCCACTCTCCCGGTTGCTTGCGTGGCCCTGTCAGGTTTTGCCCTGTCGCAGTGGCTGACTGTTTCTCTGCAGTTGTTGGGCATTGTGTTTGTGACGGCTGTGGGGACCGTGGCCGTTGTCCAGCGCAATACGCAGTACATCCATCAAGGTGAGTTCTGTGAAGAACCCTAACCCCCTAGAAACCCTATACCCCTAATACCCTAAAACCTTAGTGTATAGTGAGGACATATTTGGTATTGCACAATGTGGTTTTTGGGTTTTTGGGTTTTTAGAGAGATGTTTTTCGATGCGAAGGTTTATATTTGGTACAGCAAGTACGAGCTACTAATGTGCGCTTTATAAGTAAGGCTAGATGTTCAACTATATTGAAGCTGTTGGCAATACTCTAACGATATCTGTGTACAAGAATATATATGTATGCATCACGATGTATATATATATATATCATTAATATATGTGTATACGTTTTTTCATATAAATATACATATATATAACAGTACACTAACGCAGTATCTCTGAACGGATACCATATAAGGAATGGACTGAAAGTCCACTTAGTATGGTGTTTAGTCGGAAATGTTCGTCTCACACGTAGCCTTCCTTGTGGTCTCCTCCAGGGCTAGTGGGCCTGTCCTTGACCTACACTTTGGGACTCATCAGCACCATCGGCAATGTCATGACCTCGTTCACGCAGACGGAGATTCAAATGATAGGTACAAACCAAACCCACGCGAGTAACATGCACTTCCTTACTTAGATTCTTAACACGCACTTGCTGGGTATGGTTTCTCATGGGTGCTGTGTATGTTGTCACCTCCTTACTTAGATTCCTAACACGCACTTGCTTGGTATGGTTTCTCATGGGTGCTGTGTATGTTGTCACCTCCTTACTTAGATTCCTAACACGCACTTGCTTGGTATGGTTTATCATGGGTGCTGTGTATGTTGTCACCTCCTTACTTAGATTCCTAACACGCACTTGCTTGGTATGGTTTATCATGGGTGCTGTGTATGTTGTCACTTCCTTACTTAGATTCCTAACGCGCACTTGCTTGGTATGGTTTCTCATGGGTGCTGTGTATGTTGACAATCGCCGGTCCATTCCGTTTGTCCATTCCGTTGTGTGTGTTGCAGCTGTGGAGCGAGTCAAGAAGTACATCACAGAGATTCCTCTGGAGGAGACGGCGGAGCAGAACTCTCTAACCAACGTATGTGCCATCAGGTGATCTCTAACCAACGTATGTGCCATCAGGTGCCATCCCGGTGCTAGTAGGCATGCACTACCATGTCATGTTGGCTGATGTTAGTGCTCATACACTCGCTTTGAAATCCTGGCCTTAGTATGTTATACCAGCACTGGTCATTGTTTGTGGAAATGGAGAGGATTAGTTATAGATATTTGATTTAGTGTGAATTAGTAATAGATATTTGATTTAGTGTAGATTGAGGGAATGGTTATAAATATTTGATTTAGTGTAAAGTGAGGGAATGGTTATAGATATTTGATGTAGTGTAAAGTGGGGGATTGGTTATAGATATTTGATGTAGTGTATATATAGGGCAACGTCGTTCCTGTTAATCCCCATGCACCACGTGGCCAAGAGTAAAGCAGGCCGCAATTAGCCCCCAGCCATGACTAAGCGGACCAACTTCTCAACTTGTCATGTCGTGTCATGTCATGTCAGATCACCGTACAACACCTAGCTATATCACTTGCCAACCCTTCCGCCTAAATCTTTAACGTTCCGGATACACGAATGGCCGTCATGTACCACACGCATTGTCCTGAACTCCAATCTGGGGTGTCCTAATTGACTGAAATGACGGAAAACAGGACCGTGTTCCGCACCCCACTCTCCCCAATGGGTGGCCCAGAACGGGGACAATTGAGTTCCGCAATGTGACCCTAGACTATCCACAGATGGCAGCTGCGGACACACCTGTGCGTGGGTAAGAATATAAGACACTCATTTGCTTGTTACATTAAGGATATATATGCAAATAGACACACTCATTTGCTTGTTACATTAAGGATATAGATGCAAATAGACCCACCCATATACTTGTTACATTAAGGATATAGATACAATAGACACTCATTTGCTTGTTACATTAAGGATATAGATGCAATAGACACTCATTTGCTTGTTACATTAATTTTATAGATGCAAATAGACACACACATTTGCTTGCTACATTAAGGATACAGATGCAAATAGACACACTCATTTGCTTGTTACATTAAGGTTATACATGCAAATAGACACTCTCATTTGTTTGTTATATTAAGAATATATATGCAAATAGACCCACTCATTTGCTTGTTACATAAAGGTTATACATGCAAATAGACCCACTCATATGCTTGTTACATTAAGGATACACCTGCAAATAGACCCACTCATTTGCTTGTTACATTACGGTGATAGATGCAAATAGACCCACTCATTTGCTTGCTACATTAAGGATATAGATGCAAATAGACCCACTCATATGCTTGTTATATTAAGGACATAGATGCAAATAGACACTCAATTGCTTGTTACATTAAGGTTATAGATACAAATAGACCCACTCATTTGCTTGTTGCATTCAGATTATAGATGCGAATAGACTCATTTGCTTGTTACATTAAGGTTATATATGCAAATAGACACTCTCATTTGCTTGTTTCATTAGGGTTATACATGCAAATAGACACTCTCATTTGCTTGTTACATTATGGATATACATGCAAATAGACACTCTCATTTGTTTGTTACATTAAGGATATATATGCAAATAGACCCTCTCATTTTCTTGTTACATAAAGGTTATACATGCAAATAGACCCACTCATATGCTTGTTACATTAAGGATATATATGCAAATAGACACACTTATTTTCTTGTTACATTAAAGGTATAGATGCATATAGACACACTCATTTGCTTGTTACATTAAGGATACAGATGCAAATAGACACACTCATTTGCTTGTTACATTAAGGTTATACATGCAAATAGACACTCTCACTTGCTTGTTACATTAAGGATACATATGCAAATAGACACACTCATTTGCTTGTTACATTAAGGATATAGATGCAAATAGACCCACTCATATGCTTGTTATATTAAGGACATAGATGCAAATAGACACTCATTTGCTTGTTACATTAAGGTTATAGATGCAAATAGACACACACATTTGATTGTTACATTAAGATTATAGATGCGAATAGACACTCATTTGCTTGTTACATTAAGGTTATACATGCAAATAGGCCCACTCATATGCTTGTTACAGTAATGATATACATTCAAATAGACGCACTCATTTGTTTGTTATATTAAAAATACAGATGCAAATAGAGCCACTCATTTGCTTGTTACATTATGGATATACATTCAAATAGAGCCACTCATTTTCTTGTTACATTAAGCATATACATGCAAATAGACACACTCATTGCTTGGTTACATTAAGTATAAACATGTAAATAGACACACTCATTTGCTTATTACGTCTCCTGCATTGCGCCGCACTCTATCTTTAACACCAGCCCCGCAGAATGCTTCCATATTATACACTTGTGTTTATTACATCCCTTGCATGCCACATCTTCTGTTCCTGTGCTTGTTACAGGTTGCTTTCATATTATATACCTGTGCCTATCACATTTCCTTGCATGTCACGACTTCTGTTCAGAGTTACGCCTTCTGCTAAGGCCACCACGAGAGCGTTAGACAAAGTGTCGTTCAGTGTCAAAGACGGACAGCGCTATGGCATCTGTGGGAGAACAGGTGCTGGGAAGAGCTCGCTTATAGCAGGTGCGTGTGATGTTGCATGGAGGTTCTTGTGTACGTGTGTGTATGTGTGTTTCTTGTATACGTGTGTGTATGTGTATGTCTTGTGAACGTGTGTGTATGTGTATGTCTTGTGTACGTGTGTGTATGTGTATGTCTTGTGTACGTGTGTGTATGTGTATGTGTGTCTATAGCAGGTGCGTGTGATGTTGCATGGAGGTTCTTGTGTACGTGTGTGTGTGTGTATGTGTGTCTATAGCAGGTGCGTGTGATGCTGCATGGAGGTTCTTGTGTACGTGTGTGTGTGTGTATGTGTGTCTCGGGATGTGTGTGTGTCCTCTGTGTGTTACGTACAGAAAATGAGTCTGTGTGTGTTTATGTTTTGATCTCTGTGTGGGGCGTTGTATAACCTGTAAGGGTGTCGGTCTAAATTGAAGCGTGTGGTGTGTGTCTGTTACTTTTTATGTGTGTGTGGCTGTGTTTGGTGGCGAGTGTTTCCTAGACTCAGAGTCAATGTACCCGAGTGTGTTCATATTCTAATATCTGTGTGTGCTTATGTTTTAATATCTGTGTTTGTATGTCTTAATAACTATGTTTTATGTTTTATTGTCCGTGTCTGTGGTTGTAAATCCTGCCAGGATGGCAGTCTGAGTGCAAGTGTGTGTGCATGTATACAAAGACATGTATGTAGGAGTGCTCCAACTCGGGTGTATGATATCGTCGTCCCATTTACTAGTATGATAGCTCTCGTCGCACATTTAGTTCCTGCGCTCGACCCAAACACCATTCCAGTTCAGAACATACCAACCTAAAGCTTATAGCAAAATATATCCATAACATATTATATCCATATCATACTATATCCATAACAAATTATATCCATAACGTAGTATGCCATGAATATGTGCACTGCTACAACTAGGTTAATCTAGTGTATATCTTACTGTAAGACACTCTATCCCACCACCATCCACACACTCTCTACTGTCTCTGTGCTCTAACCTCATCTTCTACATGCTGTATGTTGTGCTAAAACACTCTATCCCACCACCATCCACACACGGTCTACTGTCCCTGTGCGCTATCCTCGTCTTCTGCATGCTGTATGTTGTGCTAAGACACTCTATCCCGCCACCATCTACACACGCTCTACTGTCCCTATGCTCTAACCTCGTCTTCTGCATGCCGCATGCTGTATGTCTTCTGCTTGCGCTACTACAGCCGCGTTTCGACTGGCGGAGTGTACTGAGGGGCGCATTCTGATTGACGGTGTGGATATCTCCACCATACCCCTGCACATATTACGGTATGTGGGTGGTTGGTGTTGTTGTCGTATACTATCCACGCGTATTCGTATGACAGTGCTATTTGGAGTGGCATTCTATACACACGTTTAAAATTACTATATGTATGTACTAGTAGCTCAAACAATGTAGGTACAAATCCTACCATCAGCTCCGGTCACCAGAGTACCATAGACCCTCAGTCTATTCATTCTGTAGACACGTATCGGTGTAGGTCATGTTATGATTGGTGCGAGGATATGCTATACTATGCCTTCGCTGTGTGGGAGTAGTAGTAGGTGAGTATTTGTATACGTCTTTCGTATGGGTATTGTATATACGTTTGTGCATCTGCACTGATACCAGAATGATCCTTCTATCTCTTAGTCTCACAGATATACAAAGTATGAGTGCGTTCAACGATACAGACCAAACACAGGGTCGCAGACGTGGAGGGGGTTCTGCCTGTATCGCCCCCACCCACCATTTAACCAAACCGTTCTACACCACTCACTGATACCTAAACCCCATACCACTCACTGCGCCATGTACTGGCCAGAGGTTCTTATGTGTACTACCTTCACGTACGATTCAAGCAGTCCATATAGGACTCCAACACGTGCGTTAGATCCGGTTACGGGTGGTTGCAGCTTCACACCCGGCTTTAGTGTGCGCAATGCTATTGGATGCAAATGTACCGCAAATGGGCTCTTCTCGGCAGTCGCCATCATAAATATGACTCACCAACTCGTCACAGCTTACAGCATAACGCACATTGTTCTCTGCCGCGTCGGATTGTGCTTTACAGGCCAAGCGCTTCGAAGACATCACTGCTGAGGCCATAGAAGACACCCCTCACCCCAACCAGGGTGGCAGTGTGTCACAGCAAGGAAACCAATCAGCCCAATGAAAACCACTGTAGTTATCAGTGTATGTCCATATGCCTCGCATTTACCGTTGCCGTTTGTATTGTCTTACCAGTGGCCGAATGGGAATTATCACGCAGACGGCAGTGCTGTTCAAAGGAACGGTGCGGCAGAATCTGGATCCTTTCAGTATATACTCGTCAGGTGGACTGCTCATATCAGCCCTTAAAAGGTACGATGTTAGCATTTCTGTATACATATGTTGTGTGCGTAGTATTCATATATATATATATATATGAATACTACGCACACAACATATGTATACAG